ATATGCGCTACGAGTAGAGTAATCTCCTTTGCGCATACACCAACAATCGGAAAACAGATCGTATGGGAAGGGTTATTCTCCATACAGTCATGATTGAATCTCACAGCTACTGCCGATGTTTCACCATTGAGTGGCTTATGTTTTTGCCCTGTTAACCAGCCCATTACGCCTGCTGGTGTCAGATCAGCAGTGGAAAACTGCTCAGCTGGCTCAAAGTTAACAATGCCGACTCCCTGGTGTTCATTCCATGCCAAAGCTTCAGAAAAGCCACAAATGTTTTTGTCATCTTCTTATACACCAGATATTGAAAATAATCCATGAGAGACTCTTCCACCAGTTGTCTTGTGCTGCCTTTGGGGGAGTATTCTGGTCTCAGTAATGAGATAAGGTAGTTGGCATCAATAACATGTAAGCTTTGCGAATCTCTTTTGAACAACGACTTGCAAACTTGTGGGTGTCTCTTCATCTGCCACACCAAATAACTTGAGACCGTCCAAAAATTCTTTTTAAAACGCCACCCTTTTCACAATGATACTAATAATCACAGAGTTGACAATCTCCTCCATGTGTGCTTCATCGATTGCTCCAGTATATCCATGATCGATGATTGTCTCATGATGACTACTCAAGTTTGCTCTAATAGACTGTATTAACTGCAAATCATTTTCAGTGAGGTGTTTCTCATCAAGTTTTTTAACATCCACATCTGGATCCACCATAATGTTGTACACACTTTCATCTAAGAAAGAGGGTGCAGGGCCACCCTGAGCAAGACTTGTGGCGATAATTTGGCCACAAGCAGAAAAGTTACTGTTTTGGATGTGGAAAGTGGAGTTTATAGGGCTACCATTTGGAAACATAACAGAACTGATGCTTGCAACTGTGTCACTTAGAATTCTTTTGATAGTGCTCCAGAATCAATTCCATTTTCCCCCATGAAATTGACTCTGAGTGATCCATTAACAGAGGAAGGGTTCTGGCTTGCCTCTCTTCGCCAAATTCCAAGTACCCTTGTAATGGTGCCCCTCTCCTTGTCATTATGAAAATCTGATGAGATTGATCTACCTTCTTTGATATCTCTTTTACTATTGAACTACTGACCACTTCCTTCTCTTCAACACAGCCATTGGAAATACAGTCATTACCTGCATCTACTTCAGCATCATAGAGCTCTTGTAGTTCTGAAGCCACTTGCTGACCCAGGGCAATTTGCGCTTCAGTCTCTTCTTTACTGCAGGTAGTCTCCACTTCTACATCACCAGAACTAGAGCTGGGAGGCACCTCAGCTGGAAGTGCTGCTTGTTTTCTCAAAGATGGGCTCTTCAGACGAATCAGTGCTTTCAAAGTGTCCTTCTGATTTCTTTAAGTCATGGTCTGTACAAAGGAATAAAGTAATTCTCTCGAAATCCTTTCCGATTTCCTCTTGGTAGCGCCTCAGTGTGAAGAGCTCTTTTTCTGGACCAGGAAGGAAAAGCGCACGAGTCCCATCTTCATACAATAAGTGATAACTTTCGCTACTGTCATAGAGGTTGCTGTGGAATGTTTTCCATTTCTCCTCAGCATCTGGGCGGAACACTGAATATGTCGCGAGGGGTGATGTTCGCAAGGCTAACTTTTTTCCTCTTTTAGGCTTCAAACTTCCGCTGTTTTCATTCCATTCCATGAGGCTAATGTATACCACTACATCTGCTTCTTTTCTTTTCTTTCCCCCAGGATCAGATTTAGAAACAAGACTTTTCCACTCTTTTCCTTTGCTTTTGCGAAAGCTTAGGAAGGACTTGGGTGCTTTTTTGTGGGCACATGGCTTTCAGTTGATGGGCCAGAGACACATTCACCAGACACGATGTTTCCTAAAAAAAATCAAATATGTTGATATTAGGAATAAAAAAAAAATAGTTTGATTACCATAACAATTTTTTGGCACTGATTGAAGACAAAATAACGTAGTTCTTTTAATTCCTGAGTAGCGAAGAGGATTGATAGCAGGAGCATTATTATTCGTGGAAGTAAAAATGTTATGTAGCTTGTTCTCAAAACTGCATATTTTTTCAGCAAATCAACATTTCATTTCAGGCTGGCAACATATTTATAATACATACATACATCATTTATACATAAGTACATGTTTGATATGTTTTACGCGGGTTGAAGTGAAAGTCAGGAAACGCCAATGTGGACCCGCTAACATAAAATTATTGAAAAACATACTTTTGAGAAAATATTTTATTACATAGCAAAAGTAAGGCGCGCACTCTGATTGGTCAAATACTTATTTAATATTTGCCCATGGGTGAATGCTGACGAAAGCTAGCGCATGCTCAAAGCAGTAAGCGTCATTTTTTATGCAAATATCATTTGTTTTTATCACATAGTTCGCAAATGTTTTTAGCTTAATATAGGAAGGAGCTGTACAAAAGTCGTTCAGGATATTATAAGAAAGGTTTGTCTTCAAAACTTTCACCCAGGAACAGATTTAATTTCTTAAGCAGATCACTAAACCCAAGTGTCAAGTCTGTAAAAGCAGCTGTTCTACTCACTCGTTCCAAAAAGGACCCCTTATTTCCGTGTTCCACATAACCATCCAATGCCAGAGTATTGGCACATCATATTCTAAACGAGGTAATGTGAGAGTCTTACCTTTTGTTTGCTCTGTTTTTTGACATGACTCTAAGGACAGAAATAACATTGAAATTTAATGTTTGTTTTGATTCTGTAAAGAACTAGAGAATAAAGTTAGTTCTTATTATCGTTCCATACTCATTCCAATATTAGTTTGTTAGGCTATCCATATAAACTTTCACATGTTAAAACATGTAACATGCAGGGAAACAATCAAACTCATAAATATTTCCTTCTTATTGTAGGATAGACATAAATCTGAATATCACCAAGCCTCTGAAATAATTTATGCTAACTTTTCACACATTGTCTTTTGCAGTGAATATATAAAATCAAGAAACACACCCACTTTGAGGTTGCCTCCATCACCAAACACAAATAATCACTCTGGTCAAAATCAATGAACTTTTCCCCTTTTTGAACACAATTTTGAGACATCATTAGCAAATTTCAATTCTGTAGTTTTAATGTTAAACAAACATGCACACTTTATAAGCAGAAGGGGGGAGGGTTAAAACAAATTACTTTTCACGATATGAATGTACACTTTGAGCCTAAAGTTCTAAGATCTTTCTATGTGAGTCAGAGTGTTATAATAAGTATCCAGTCTTGTTAGCAGCACACTGTTCTGAGGAATGATAGACCTGGGGAGGAGGGGGGGGTAACAAGTACGTGTTTATAACAGAGAGGGGGAGGGTGTAAACACATTTGTTTTTCCGATATGGTAGAACATTTTGAGTCAGAAAGTGGTAGAGTTTTAATTTGGGGTGAATGTGTTAGTAAGAGAATACAGGTTTGTTGGGAGGACCCGGTTTTTGGGGAGGGTCCGCGGGGGGGGGGGGGGGGGGGGGGGCACTCCCATATTCTAGCTATATAGATAGGTATGTGCTATGGGATAGAGTAAGGTTTTCAAGGTTTGCATTCCTTGATGCACTTCACTTGTCACCATCTTCCACGAGGGAGGTGGAGAGCCCAAGCTGATGTGGGGGAATATAGGGACGTTATGGGGACTTTGCAGGAAACTTGAGCTCTTGTGGTTGGGGAAATTATGATGACCAGACCCTTGGGGAAAATGTGGGGAAATGCTTCTGGTGAGCTGAGAAAAGTTTGAGAACGAGTTACGTTTTCGCTCAATGCAGACAAGACGACAAGGGAGTGGTTTCGCTTACCGCTTTAGTCGATTTTGATCAACCCTGTTACTTGTTATGTTTTTAAAGGGACAATAGTTTTTGTGCTGTATCTATCAATAGGCCATTTGAGTTGTGTAAGGTGTTTTTAGTAACCATTTAAAGAACTCATGCAAGTGAAGGGCATTGTGTTTAGAAGCAGCAAAATATGTGTAAATGTTGTCCAGAAAGATTTATGGAACAGAATTCAGGAGGGAAAGAAAAGATGAAATTTTCACCAGATGGTGTGAAGCCTTGAGTAGTTGCTAACTGCTCAAAAAGCCAAAACGAAGTTCGGAAGTGCACCTTCAAGTACTGTTGGGTGTTTGGCAAATTAGGTGTTCATAGAATAGTGGGGACTTTGCCAGAGGAAAACATCCCTACCAGTGGGGGAATACAAGAGTCTCCAAAGTCCCCACATCAACCTACGCCCCCTCGGGGAAGCCGATGACAGATGCATTAAAGAGGGTACTCCTTTTTTAGTATTGTGCTCGTTTGATAAGATACCTAAAAGCACAGGACCCAAGCTGCTGTAGAGACCTCAACCGAACTACCTTGTTAACGTACTAACAAAACAATTCAACTAAGTTTACTCTTGTCTAGATTCATATTGTTTAAAGAGAAACAAAAACGACGTTTTGCTTACCGATTTCCCTTAATTAAACAGGGTCCCATTTTTTCCTTTCTAGGCCTTAAAAGGGTATGAATTTTCAACTTAAGTCCCCTTGAAATGGCACACACCTACACCAAACTCCGGGATGATTGACTCAGTATTCAAGTTCAATCCAAGTTCAAAACACGATTTCTGTTATAGACCTTGTTACCTGCATCGATGTTCAGTTGATATTCGATAGTGTACGTTTAGGTTTGTCCAGCGCCGCAAATATTCTCCAAGTAGCAGACGTCGCCCTCCGAGTTGTCTTCTTGCTGTTTTTGCCGTGTTTTTTTTGCTATCATTACGCATAGTTCCAGCTGCAGTTCTTGCTCTTGAAACGAGTGAAATGTCCGCCATTTGTTTTTTCACAACCAAAACAACTCAACCTCGTCTCCAGGTCTTCTCGGTTACAGTGCCTTATCCTGTAGCGGGCTGCATTTTTGACATCGTTTCCTCGTTAAACACAAACTTCTTCCAAATTTGGTCATCAGTAACTGGTTATGGTGAATTATGCGTGTGCTCAGAATCACAATTGGGGAAATATTTTGAATGAACAATAATGTAATTTAACTGAAGCAATAAGCGATGTTGTCTTTGAATATTTTCTAGTGTCAACCAGCTCCAATCCAACTCTATCTCCAATAGAAGTTCTTAGTAAGGAAGCCACTGTTGCCCTTTCTGTTGTTGGAGCAATCCTGTTCCTCTGTGTCGTCCTTGGGTTCGCCTTTATACGCCATCAGCGGAAGCAGATTGTGGAGTATCGTAATCAGTTTTTTCCAGTATACACTGGAAAACACCAGGTAAAATACCATGTAAAACGAGCTTAAAATGAAGCCACTACATAACAACCAGTGCCTGCTTGGATTCTGCAACTTATTTTGGCTGAAAATGATGTTTGTTGGACTGCGTAAATTTCACACCCCTCCCATTCCAAGATCATACTCAACACCTACAATGACAACTTTAAACGCAGAAAAACGGAGGAGGGGGATTTCTTTTACTTGTGAAAATTTTGTCTCAGAAGAGCAATCAAATTAGAAAAGGGGTTTTAGAAGCAAACGTCTCTCAACCTTTGTTCAAACATGACGGCGAAAATAAAATGAATTTGCGATCTTTCAAACTTCATCTCGACTAACGTCATCTCCTTTGATATGAGAAACGTAGGTGGCTTTACGTGGAGTAGTTGAATTTCTATGGACAGCCAAGTTAAAAAAGGGAATAATAAAATTTATCGTCAGTGCCGGTTAACGTCCTTCGCAAAACGCGCATTGGGACTAATTTTTCACGTCGTAGTCGTGCAATTAAGTTTGATGGCCCGTGCAAAGTTGTTGTTTTGGTTGTCAATCCGACCTGCTACTGTTTTACCTTCTCGTTGCCGTCGTCGACTCTATTTCGCTTAAAATCTTTAGTAACCTTTCGAAAGTGCAGGGTTGCTTTAGTTATGGCCACTTTACATTCGTATAAACCTTCATAGTGTTGGACACTTTTGAGAATGATTATACATTCATCAGCATCTGAGTTGCTTGTTCGAGGCTAGTCGACAGACATAATTTGCAAAATTGCAACCATAGATTGCTCCTCGTTTTAAAACACATGTATACTTACGGATAGTAAAGATGGCTGACATTTTGTTCATTTCATTGCATGCTACGAACCAGTCTGTTCCGCAAAAATAGTCACGACTTTTGTTGTCGACCTACCGTGAACGAGGTGTCGAGTTTCTTTGCGGAGTGGCCATAAATTTAAGTCGACTTTTCAAACCTAAACTGGCTTTTGTTTATTCTTTGACTCGATTCAAAATGTGATCCATTGCCCTGAAATGGCCTTCTAAATTCAGGTAATACTCATGAACCAAACAGTTTCCAGTTGGAGGGAATGAACCTACCATTGCTTAGACTAAATAGGTCCCTATTGTATACGTTAAGTAATAACATATTTCTTGATTGTTTTAGATTGACCCTAATCGTACACTGCTTGAACAATGTAATGATCTGCCTTATGATCCTGATTTCGAGTTTCCTGAGGACAAGCTCATTCTTGGGGAGTTGCTAGGATCAGGGGCCTTCGGAAAAGTCATTAAAGCAGAGGCTATAGGAATAAACAACTTTAGCCCCAGAGACAAAAGTCAAAAGAAAAGTCAGCGGCGACCTAAAATGTTTCGTCAACACAGGGCCGGCCATGCGTACCACGATCCCAGAGGCAGTGCGTACACAAAGACCACCGTAGCTGTAAAGACTGTTCAAGGTAATGTTTCAAGTCAAGAGATCTCTATTTCAACTTGTGTAACATTTACCATGGAGCAAGGATGGCTGGTACTTGTCTGGGGTTGGTGGAGGGGAACAAAAAATTGGTTTATAGTTACTTTAACAGCTGATAATATGCAGGGGAGGGGACGAGTTACCAGGTTAGGGTTGATTTGGGAATCTGTGCCTACCAGTGGAAAAAACTCCAGCCATGCCCCTGGATTCAGCATGGGTGAGGTGGGCAATTCGCATAGGGCCTCTCTCATGCATGAGTACCGTTCGTGCTCATTCCTATTGCTGAAGCGTGTGCCTAGTTAAACTGAACGTTGCTTGTGACATGGTCACATGGACTCCACTAGACCCTGTGGAAACTGCACTTTTTTTAACTGACCGAGTACGATATTTTGGCACTTCAGGGGGAGCTACTAAAGAGGAAGTAAGAGACCTGGCATCAGAGCTGAAAATTCTAATTTACGTTGGAGAACACAAAAACATTGTAAACCTCCTTGGTGCTTGTATCAAGCGAGATGGTATCCTTGTCATTCTTGAATATGCACCACATGGGAGTTTACAAAAGTTCTTACGAGGCAAGCGAGATGTTTATGAAGCAACCTGGACTACGACTGCGAGTGACCCAGAGATAGGATTGAATATATCAAATCTTGTAAGCTACTCTTACCAAATATCCCGTGGAATGGAATACCTGGCGTCTAAAAAGGTAATGTAGTAATGTTGCCCCGTTCAAAGATTGCCACATTTCTGAAGAAAATTCAGTACTAACAAGAGCTGTAGTGGCTCTTGGTTGTAATAGGCCTTTTTGGCTTATGCTTTATTTTCCCATTTCACACCACGTGATGTTCTCAAGGCAATTTGCGTTTTGTCTTTTCATAAAATATACATACATATGCTCGTGGATGCACGAGCAAAGGACAACTTTTGAAAGGAACGGTTCTCTGGGGTACCATCAAGTGGTCTGAAAAGGGAAGAGAAAACATACAAGCTAAACAGGTCTATTCTCCAGCACTTCCTTATTTTCTCCGTTTGACTTCAAGGAGTTTTTTCATGATTTAAATCGTTCATTCGACTCTAAATCTGCGCCTGTTTGTTTGTTTTTCGCGTTTAACAGAGTATGACTACTTGAACTGGGGCGCTTGAAAGATTATTATCCAATCAAATCTTTTGAACTGACCGTTTTTTTTTTTTTTGAAAACAAGAGATTCTCTGTTAATGTAAACGGACCAAAAAAATTCAATGTACAACTATGAAACTGTTGATAACTTAAAAACCGTTTGAACTTACCTGACCTCTCAGGAATTAGCCCTCAAATTTAATGAGAATCTTTTGTTTTGTGTTTGGATAATCTATTTCCAAAAGCTCAGCTTCGAGTATTCGCACTGTGAGAGTTTATTATGAGTAATAAGTGGTAAAAAGTAAAGTAACTCAGAGAGAGGAGACCTCAGTAGCCAAAAGCTCGCGCAAAGGATTAGAAAAAGCAACATGTAGGAGAAAGGTTACGGGAACTCAGAAGCGTGCGCAACAGCTGTGACATTAAACCAGCCATGAACCGGGAGCGAAAGAAGCGAAGACGTAAGTGTCTGTAGCGTTGGTTTCTCACTGACAATTCAGCGTTCGAGAGTAAGTGAAGAGCATTGTTTAACAATGTTTAGTCTTTATTTACTTTTACTTTCTGTAGCGTGTGCACTTCTCTGTTGGTATAAAAATTGTTTTTCCTGTTTTTACTGTCATTATTATTATCATTATTGTTATTATTATTACTATTATTATTATTATTATTATTATTATTACTATTATTACTTTTTAAAATAACAAAAATCTTTTTTAACATATCACCAATTTACATTCCACTATCATATGAAATAAAAATATTAAAACTAAGATCATAAAACACTAATTTACAAGCCCACCCCATTATCGACTTTCCAAAATTAGCGGACTTATTATTATTATTATTATTATCTCCTTCTTGTTTCTGATTTCTTGATTTTGCATTCCTTTTTTCAAAACATATCTGTTTTATATAGTGTGTTCACCGAGACTTGGCGGCCAGAAACGTTCTTGTTGGAGAAGACTACGTCATGAAGATCGCTGACTTTGGTCTCGCTCGAGATATTTACAAGAGTGACTTATATGTGAGGACAAACAGTGGTGTTTTGCCAATGAAATGGATGGCGATAGAATCATTGTTTTTGAGGGAGTACTCAGAGAAAAGTGATGTGTAAGTACAATTGACATTTAAAAAAAAATGAATGAAGGGAGAATATGAAAATATGCGGGGATCGTACTCAAGGATGACAACTATATAATTAGTGCGTAACTAGGCGTTCAAATTAAAAAGAAGCTGGCCTTTTTGATTACTGCAATTAAGTTAAACTTGCCATAACATAGTTTTGTAGGCGCTCTCCGATTGGCTGAGAAGTATGTTTGCATGCGAGTAACACAGTTAAACGCAACCAAGCAACCATGATTTGAAAAACTCGACAAGTTTACTTTATTAACCCATAACTTAGAGCCAGGGAACTTGAAAAATCTTTAAAAACATGCTATATCAAAGTTTTTACGCTCAAGACGACATTTTAAGGGAGAACAATCCGTCCTTTAAAATATCACCTTTTTTAACAAATAAAGAAGCCTTGACTGTGCTCTGTTCTGTACGTTGTAAAGCACGCACGACTGGCAGCGGCTAGAACACGAAAGAAGTGTAGGGGGGAACCCGAGATGTTGTCGAGTGTTTCTCTCTACTTCTTGAGTATTACAACAGAATAGTGCTCAGTCAAGACTTCTTTATTTGTTTTATGAATATAAAGAATCCGTTAAATTCCCCACACATTCCTTTTTAATTTTCAAAACAATCTTTTTTTTTTTTTTTAAAGAAAAAGAGTGTCGTCAGCATGTTTTGTACTCTCATAAAGCACGCTTTTGCAACAAATCAGAGCGCACGTTATATCTGAACTTTATTATAAATGCAAAACAAAAACGTACTAATTACACGTACAAAACTTCGTGTAGATACAACACTTCGCGACTAGTAAGAACTGCTCTTTTCATCAGCGCCATAAACAAAGAGCTAGGTAGCAACTTTGTCTCGGGAAAGTAGCACCTTAGAAGAAAACTGTTTTTCTGTGGTTTGCAATTTGTACGAATTCTCTTAAATTCTCCCAACATCCGAATCTCGTGTTTATATCAGGGCATGTAAACACAGCAGATAACGTTTTCCATTTTTTATAAATAGTTCTCGAAAGAAAAAGAATACTACTGATGACGATTCTTGAATGTAGCGCTTTATATGCAAGCCATGTAAGTTTTGATTCCAATAATTCCGTTGTAGTGGAGTTAATAGCAGCTTACCATCTGTTTCCTCGAGTCCATAGTTTAGCTTAACAGCTTACAGAGCTTTATTGACACCCTTTTGGTTTGGAATGACCCAGGCTGTGATGACCCTTCGAGTGTGTATGTTTTGAACCTTGACATTTAATAATGCAGATGGTCGTTTGGTATTTGCTTGTGGGAGATCTTTACACTGGGCGGCACACCGTATCCAACTATACCCGTAGAAGAGCTCCTAGACTTTCTCAATGATGGAAACCGTATGGAAAATCCCCGAGAGTGCCCTTCGGAGATCTACAAAATTATGCAAGATTGCTGGCAGGAAGGACCCGACAAGCGACCTAAGTTCGATCAAATCAGCGAGTCGATTGGTACAATACTTGAGCAACGCGCTTCCCAGGTGAGGCCTTTTTTCTACTGTTTTTGAGGCAAAGGAGGAACTAAGAGAACTTATCCTCTCTCTTGTCAGAACTTATTGTATACCAGGTCCTTCAAAGGAAAAAATGAAGTTTATCAAAAGGGAATACTATCTTGAGTGTATATATCCTTTGTTCTGATGGGGCGAGCGGGAATTAAGCTTTGCAGAAAGAATATGAAGAGATGACTTATACTGTGTGCTCTTTAAAAAATTGCCATATTTGCAAAGACAGTGGCAGATTTAAATTTCTAACTAAGTGGGGGACCCGCTCGTTTAGTCCCGTAGACTGTAGTTTGGCCTATAAAGAAGGTGGAGCCCCGGGCCCCCGTGGCCCCTCCCGTAGATCGGCCATGGAATGATATAACAAGATCTGCAAGCTGTTTTTTTTTCTCTAGCCTGAAGCAATGCAGATGCTAAAGCTATACAGATAATAATAATAATAATAATAAAAATACGATTCTAAAAAGTAGGTTGAGTTTGATCGTCCGGGTGAACGTAGTTCTGAATAGGACTGTTGTTGTTGACAGTGACTGACGTTTCGACAACCTGTGCGGTAATCATCTTCAGAGTCAAAGTGAGTTGTATCACGTCAGTTGGTGGTATTATACTCTGGTACCAGAGTATAATACCATCAACTGACGTGAGACAACTCACTTTGACTCTGAACAACAACAGTCCTATTCAGGACTACGTTCACCCGGACGATCAAACTCAACCTACTTTTGAAATGACTCCTGGGTTCAAACCTTTCACAGGTTTACTATTCTATAAGATCAGAGAATTTCGACTGCCAGTTCAGCGTGCAAAGATAGTCGTGTCCGATAGCCCGGGGCTAGTGGATTTTGCGATCGGGCTAGTGAATTCTGTGCTTAGCTTGCCCGACGGGCGAGTGAAGATTTTTCAGAGAATTAAAATTACAGAAGTACCGTAAGACAAAATGCTTTAAATTCCTAGTAAATTCCTGCGGACCGAAAGTCGCTCCGACGAAGTGAAATCTGCATAAACAAGACGAAGTACAGTGGAACCTCGATTTAACGAAGGGCCACGGGACTGACAAAATGTGTTCGTTATGACCAGCTTATTTTCCATCTATTTTACCATTATCGGGGTAAAGAAATTCCTTTGTTACATGGAGGACTTCGTTATATAGAGGTTCGTTAAATCGAGGTTCCACTGTATCGCATTACATGTGAGACGAGACATATTGAGATCCCGCGCATAAAGTAAAGGCAAATATTGAAAAAACTTTGGAGGTAAATGTTGCCCGTGACTAATTCTTACTGATTCAGAGAAAGCTATTTGTCTAAATTTTGCTTCATAATCATTTGTGAGGAACGTAAACAAAAGTTTTTTATCCTGAACTCCAGTGTGAAATTTGTCATGGTTTTAGCAAATATTGGTCACGTGTGTTTCAATATGGTAAATTCTAAACACTGATACTCTACGTGTTTGCTAATTAAAATATATAGACCACATCGTATTGTTTTTACTTTTCACGAAAATCTTTCAGATGAAAAGTTGCCAGAAATGGAACGAACATTTTTGTTCTTTTAAAACCTAAAACCTTTGGTTTAATACTTGTAACAGGATAAACCACAAATTTGGATAATCTTTGTTTGCATGTTATTTGCTCACTGATGCGTGACTCGGCACTCGCACTTTCCACTTTCCCGTGAACTTGTAGTCTGCTACACAGCCGTTTTTAGTGTCGTCACGCAACGCTCCTCCCCACCAACGGCTGCTGAAAACCGAACTACATTCCTTTCCCTTTATGTTTGTGGTCTAACGAACAAACCAATCATGTACAAGAAATTTGACAATACGTGAGCCGCAGAGCGCTAGGAAGCGAGCACGCTTCTCAGTTTTCTACAAATCAATCAATCGTCGCTGAATTTAGACGGGCTCTGTGTTTTCAAGCAACAAAAGGTTACTTTGCAAAAAAGTTTATTTTAAGCGGTCAAGAAAGTTCCAAGTGAAAAAAGGTTTGATAGGCCTAGAAGACTTTTTTCCAGGATCGGTTGGTTCTTCATTTAACGTGCATATGTACTGATATGTAACGAAGAATTTAATGTGCCGGATGTGCTCATTTTGTTCCTGTGAAGACTAAACTCTCAAGGGTACTGATTCAAAAAGCAATCTTATGAATTATCGATGAACGATTTCCCGAAACTATACCTGGCAACTTTATGAGCACATCCATGTTGTGCATCGCAATTTGCTCGACTTGCTTGCTGGTGCTGCTTATCTCCTAAATTTTGAATAGGACTCGACTACGACAACACTGTAGTTAATTGCTTGTATTCACGCGACGATTTTGATTATTCTGACATTCGCACATGGTGCAACGATAAAAGCAAAGCTGTGATTGGAGGAGTCACAGTACCGCAAAGGTGGCGCGAACACCTTTCAGAAAATGGGAGCTGAATTATAATTGGCTAATCACGGGAAAGGAATGTAGTTCGGTTTTCAGCAGCCGTTAGTGGGGAGGAACGTTGCGTGACGACACTAAAAACGGCTGTGTAGCAGACTAGTGAACTTGAAGCTTGACTTGGAAAACCGGCTCCCAAACAAACCTTCTTCAGAAAAATAATCTTCTGAATGCACTACTTTTGAATGAGAAGCAAACTGATGAAAGCTATCAAATTTTTATGCCTTACAGATCAGAAGCTTGAGTATTCGGACATTTTCACAAGAAGTTAACCAGTAATATGTAGTTTTCAGCATTTTTTTCTAAGAAAAAAGTTTGTCTGTTATTTGGACCTTCATTCCGTTAGCTTCACTTAAAGTGCTACTGCGACGAAAATCGCAGTCTTTCTAAACGAAATTTTTGGGCTCGAACTTAATGTTTGGACTTAAACCTTCACGAAAAAATGTAATTCAGACCAATCCGACGAAGCGGTTCCCACAAGAAAGATGTCTGAAAGTGGGAAAAATGGGTCCGCCATTACATAAACAACAAATGTCCGAGTCAAAGGGGAGGGATTGGATCGAGGTCGCCTGTGACGTCATCTTATCCCCAAAACTCACCACCATCTCGCTACAACTACTTCTAGCGTGTTATTGTGTTGTCGTCTGTTCCGTGTTCTTCATCCATTTCTTCGAAAGACAGATCTGATTTAAAACAGTCGAACAGAAAGATATTTTGGACGGCAATGGAACTGCTTTTATCCCGTACGATGAGGATTTGGAGCCAAACGCGACCGTAGAAGCGGCCGCCGCATTCGAGGAAAGCGTGATTCTTGAAGAAGATCGTAATCTCGAGCTCCAAAGACATTTTACTGGTGAAATAGGCGCATGGTAGGCATTACTCCGATTGAGTTTTTTTGTCGTTTTTTTTTTTTTTTTTTTTTCATCGTACTGCGTTTCTGTTGTGATGTAATTTGCTGACAGCAGAAGGGAACCCAGTACAAGTATCTAAATTCTCTAACTCTGTGAAATAAAAACAATACTGAACGGAGCACATGTCTCTTTTTGTTTGTTAAGTGCACTTGTTCGAACTGGTCCGTCGCCATCAGGTCCCATCACTACCAAAACGGACGAGTGTATTTGCTGCAAAGAAATGGACCGTGTAAGGGAAGTATGGGTAAAGTAGAACGGGAAGGTGACTGCATTTAATACTCTTCATCAAGATCAATCATCCCAGTTTTCAGGATGTTTGCCTGAACCGGTGGCTTCTTCAAGTTGCATCGCTTAATCTGAAGACGAAAACTGGAAAAAGTTACCGAAATTTGTTCACTCAAGGTCTTAAAACGGAATCAGAGTAATTTATTCACTCCTTGTTGTTTATTTTGTTGTTATTCGTCCTCTTGCTGTAGTTGTTGAAGTCATATGTTGTTCACCTGGGTGTCTTGTAGGTGAACCTGAAATATCTATTTATTTGGTAAATAAGGTTGAATTATACTCAAACCCTTGTTGACGAAGAAAATATAAACTCCTAGCAGTATAGACTTATTTTTTTTCTTATTAATTTTCTAGAACCCTGAAAAAAATTACTATAATTGGCCCAAAACTCCTATATAAAATAAAGAAAATAAAACAAGGAGTGTACACCATTTACCTTACTGCATGATGAGAAAGAACAAGGTACAATAAAAAACAAAATCAAACAGTCCAGCATACAAACAAGTAGAAAAGACCAAACTGGGGATGGACTGAGTACATATTTTTTACTTCTGTATAGGTTTCTCCGATCAGTGTTCTACAGACAATTTACTTGACTTGTTTGGGATTTTGTTGGAAGTTCCAAGCCTTATCCATACCCATGTTGTGCTTACAAAGCAATAAGGACAGCTTTCCAAGTGAAATTGGGGAACATCATGGCTTTGAAGATGATGAATCATAGACAATCATTGACCTGATCGGTCAATTAACTGGCAATGTTATTGGTTCTACAGTGAGCCACGTTGTTTTTTTCAGCTTTTGACATGGACAATTTAGGGAAAATCTGTCAACACCACTGGAATGAACACATTACAATACAGTTAACTAGACTTTCTAAAAGTCCTTTACATTTTTTTTCCTGGTTGGCCACTGTGTGACCTTGTTGAAGCTTGCTTCGCTCACTAAGAACTTATGAGAGGTCGACTTGTAGCAAGTCTAACAGTTAACCTGCCTAGTTTAAAAGTGTTAGGTCCTAAGTGAGGGAAGATAGAGCTCTGCAAAGTTGCAAAAATTTACACTCAGACGTTTGTATGGTGGGGGAAAGTTTGTGTCCCCCACCATACAATTAATGTCTGTAAAATTTTGCAATTTTGATGAATACTTGTTGTATAGTTTCCAACAGATCACTTTCAAACTTGGCAATTGTACTGACTGAAAGGCACTCTTTCCAACAGATTTTGCTTAACTTGCCCATGTCAAAAGTTGAAAGCCGTGAAAAGACCTGTTTATTTGTTATTTGCTTTTCTCTCTTTGTAGAACCAATAACATGACAACTTAATTCACCAATCAGGTCAATAACCAGTTTTAATTTAAAAATACCATTATAACTGACGTGATACAACCTTCTTATGAAATGACTTCTGGGTTCAAAGCTTTCACAGTTTTAAGAATAGTTTGTTATTTTACTTCAACCTCTCTCCCTCGAGGTTCATGTTAAGTGTGTGGCTCTGCTTTTGGGAGGGTTCAGGTTTCCTCCTCAGATAACATAAGGTTTTTCCTGACAGGCTGCACACATGAGCATACGTTTACAAGGTTATCAATCAAAGAACTATACTTAAAAGTTTGTTACATGGAGTAGAGGTGATGCAAGATTTAAAAGGAAGAGCAGGAGCTGGAGGAAAAACAAAAGGCTCTCCAAAGAAAGACAAAACAAATAAAAACTGCGGTCATTGAGGCAAGGTGGTTGGATGCACAGTTTCAACTTATGGCTGGGCAGCTACCCCCCTTGGCTAACCATATCTTGGCACAGGCAGATGAATAATATGTAAACCAGACAGATAAAAGTAAAAAAACAGTCCCCTCTTCTTTTAAGAAATTGTATATATACATTGGTTCCGTGAAAAAAGGAAAAAGCCTAAAAAGAAAATGTAATAAAAATCACATCAATACCAAACAGAAAAGAGTAAAAAACAGTTACAGATTGTTTTAAAAATTGTACATAATTATACAGTCAATGAAAAAGGGAATAACTCTTTTGAGAAAATGCATTTATATAGACAATGGAAAAGGATGAATAATTCTTCAAAAATTTTTCCTATTATATGTAGTCTTTTCATATGTCACTCCATATCGTCCTTTCCAACTCCTTCACCCTCTGCTTCTTTAACTGGCTTTCTTTATGTAGCAATCAGCAGTAATACTCTTTATTAGAAGATCATCAAAAGAAACATCCCTTGTCAATGCAGCACTTCTTGCATCATGTACTACAAGCCTTTTTCTCACCATCTTTGAGGGATTTCCAAATGAGAAAGTATTTGAAGTGACACCAGTCAGTAATCAAAATAAATCAAAGAGTACCCTTTACCCCTTATCATTAAATAATTATAACATCAAAAAATAACACTTGAAAGATGAAAAGGGAGTTGGAGCACTCTATCAAAATAAATCGCAAAATACAAATTAATGATCATAAAATCCAAGGCTGAAGGCCCCACCCACCAGCCTAATTTTTGGAACAAACCAAAATGATAACAGGATCTAGAGCAACAACACTACTCATAAACATAACCAAGTGGAAGCATTTCCACTGTAAAGCTATGACCAGATACTAGCACTGCAAGAGGAAAAATATCAAACTAGCAGCAGGCCCCATGGCAAGAAAATTTTGAACAATGGCACTTCATGTGGCTGGCTATGATGGAGGGACAATGTCTAAATAAAATACAAAGATGGAAGTGGTTTGAACAAACTAACCCCCTCAAATAATTACCTACAATGAAAGGAAACTGTGCCATTTGTGAACTACTGCTATGGTTATTGTACTACTAGCTGTATGGTTATTGAACTATATAATTATTCTGTCTTGACTGAACTGCACCTACAGGAAAATGAAAACTGAACTAGCAGGCCTCAAGGCAAGATAATTTTGAACAGTGATACTTACGATCACTTACTGTAAAATAGGAACAATGTCTAAATAAAGTAAAATACAGAGACTAAACAACTTTAATATACGTTTTTTTTTTAACTATTGCTATGGTTATTGAACTACTGTGTGGTCATTGAGCGTCTTACTGAACTTCACATACTGGAAAGTGATCACTGAACTGCACCTACAGAAAAATGAAGACTGAATCAATGATTTCATTGTCAACTAAGATTTCACAGTTCAGTATCCATAAATGATTTTTACGAGTTCAGCGACTGCAGCGAATACGACCAAAACAGACTACTAAAAAATTAGCCCCTTTTCTAATTTTCGGTCGACATTTTTTACCGCCGCGAAGTTACGCGAAACACAACAAAATACTAGATTGGGCGATCGTTTCTTGACATCTCTGTTTATTTCTCCGTCAGTGTGTATATAACTTAAGTTTGTGTTTTCGAAAAAAACCGTACTAATGATTTGTATCTTGCCCTTTCTATCCCGGCTCCAAACTGAAAATTATGACACGATCCCACAAAGCAAGAGTCAAAGGGCTATGAGTGTTAACTCACCATAAGCCGGCTTCTCGCGGACATGACACTGGACTTGCCAGGTACGTTATTTTTACAAATAGTTGGATTTGCTCCGGGAATTCCTCTTCTACGTTCTTGCAGCGTCTTTTACGTGAACTTGCCTCTCGAAGCAATCGGACGTGAAATTAATACAGAGCTCCTTGAGGTTGAAGTTCTCGCTGCACGTTCGAAAAATGCGTTCCACAGCGCTCTTTTGCCTGTGCAAAGAAATTCCCTTTTTCGGATTGGAGACTGTTGCTGCAGTCCTGGACAACGTAGCAACAAGGGCATCTTTGCTCGATGAAACTGACCAAGAAGAGTTACCAAGAAGAACTTTTCTTTCAGCCTCTGGGGATAAGATGACGTCACAGGCAACCCCGTCGACCTCGATCCAATCCCTCCCCTTTTGCTCCGACATTTTTAGTTTCGGTAATGGCGGACCGCCACTGAAGAAAAACACGGCTTAGAAAATCGGACTTCCAGTGAGAACTAGGATCTCAAATTTGGTATGTGTATTTATTAGCTATCAAACATTCTAAAAATCGTAAAACACAAATAATGCTTGATTTGATCACAGTAGCACTTTAAATTCCTTATTTCATCATTGTGAGTTGACTTTCAAGACAAAGGCATTTATAATCAAAAGGTGAACACTGAATTATTGTACTAGTGTGTCAAGAGTATCTTACCAGGTCTACTTAATAGTTCACAATTTTACGGTTGTTTGTTGGTTTTGTTAAATAACTATAGCTGGTTGCAATGAATAATTTATTAACTTACAGTGTAATTAAGAAAGGAATAATCAATTAATGGTTTTTAATTCTGCACGCGAAAACATTTTTTCGGGCTAGTAAAAATGACTTTCGGGCTAGTAGATGTTAGTTAAAGCTTGCCCAAAGGGCAAGCTGTAAAATTGACTTTCTTTGCACCCTGCTGAGTTGAAAGAAAGATTATAAGGGATGCGCATCTTTTGCTGGTCAGGAGCCCATAATCCGGAGAAGGCAACTTCCGTGCGCTTGTGTCACGACGTTTTCAAGGACCAGTTTATTTTTAGAACGGTTTTGGCGCGAACTTTGAATATCTTTTAAATTTCACAAACTAGTCAGCAAAACCCACAGACCTAAAAATGGTATTTTCTGCCTTTTAATAACGTTTAGGTTTTCGTTTTGAAATCTTATACTTCGAATGCGCTCATAGATGTGGCGGAGATTTTATTTTCGCGGGAAGAAGTGCCCGTTAAAATGTGTCTAAAAATAAACTGATCCGTAAAAACGTCGTGACATACAGTAGGCCTAGTATGGAAGTTGCTCGCTCCGGGTTATGGGTTCCTGGCTGGTGTGTTTATTCTAAACTTCGATATTGGGCTTATTTTTCACAACAGAGTGTCGCGACCGAGTACCTTCACTTAACAGAAGACAACAACCGTGGCAGAAAAGATTACTACCTTGTTCCACATGATTCAGACCCCACCGTTCCTGTGACGAGAGCAGATGTTTATGACAGGTTAGTACTCTCGATTAAGCATTTGGCTTTTATTCTTGAAAGTTCAGCCACAAGCGAGTTGGGTTGTCCATACCCGGTATTACGTACCCATAAAGGAACCAACAAGTCCCAGGCTAAAGAACTCCCCAATATTAGTTCGACAATAAATACGATATGTTATGTTAATTCAATAACTCATAGGTAGGGCCAGTTATGGTTATATACTAGCTTGGCCACTGAGGGAGCGCTTATTAGGGGACGAAATAGGTTCTTCAAAGGAGAACTGGGGAGACACGTGCATGGTCATGGCAAAGAACGAAAGGGACTCAGTTACATTGTTACGTAAGAAATAACATTGCTTAACTCTTGGATACAGATAATGGTCTTGCTGTGCACGGTAAATTTAAAATTGAGCCGAACGAGTGGCTAATAAAAAAACTGTTTCCATATGTCAATGCCGGCGTTTAATCAAAGGTAAACAAGCGTTCAGAGAATGAGAGAAGAGAGGAGGTTCCCTTATAACATCACTTAATACATTTAAGACAGTGTGCTGGAGGTGATTGTTATTCAAGGAGACACTCTTATTTTTCAGTTTGGCAGGCGAATATTTAGGGGAAGACGCTTAATCAATGTGAACCAATCAACCTTATATTTTTGACATTAAAGGCGTAATAGCGTATAAATCTCAGAGTGAGAAAACCTAACTCCGTTCCGTGTAAGTCATGTTTCGAGTCCATTGCGGTTGGCATCAAGATCTGAAATAATGATAATGAAATAGAGCATTGCG